ACACTGGCTGTGATTTCTTCCTGGAGCTCTAGGAGAAAACAGAGTTAATAAGACACATGCATCTCTAAACATACTACCAAGTGTATAAACACTAACAATATTTTCCACATCTCAAGGACGATTTTAACCAGTTGATTCTGGGAAACTTTCATGGGAGAGTGCATCAGCCACTTTGTTAGAAGCTCCTGAGATATGTTGGATGTTGAAATCAAAATCTTGGAGAGAGAAACTCCACCGAACAAGTTTTTTGTTATTTCCCGTGGCGGTATGAAGCCACTGTAGCACAGCATGGTCGGTTTGCAGGTGGAAACGCCATCCCCAAATGTATGGGCGTAGCTTTTCCAGGGCGTAGACAATGGTGTAACATTCCTTTTCACTGATTGACCAGTGGCTTTCCCTCTAAGACAGCTTCTTGCTGAGAAGCACGACAGGATGGAACTCTTGATTCGGTCCTTCCTGCATTAAGACTGCTTCCACACCATGCTCGGACTCCTCTGTGGTTACTAGGAACGGTTTGTCAAAGTCTGGGGTCCTTAGCACAGGGTCAGACATGAGTGTCGCTTTAAGCTGGTTAAAGGCCTTCTGACACTCTTCGGTCCACTGAACAGCATTTGGCTGTTTCTTTTTGGTTAGGTCTGTCAGTGGGGTGGCGATTTGGCTGTATTGCGGTCCAAATTGCCTGTAATATCCGGCCAAGCCTAAGAAGGATTGGACCTGTTTCTTTGACTTTAGTACAGGCCACTTTTGGATAGCATCCACTTTGGCCTGTAGGGGTTTGATAGTTCTTTGACCCACCTGGTGTCCAAGGTAAGTCACTCTGTTTAGGCCTATTTGACACTTCTTAGCCTTAACAGTTAGTCCTGCCTCCCTTATGCGCTCAAAGACTGTAGATGTTCCAGGTGTTCTGCCCAGGAATCCGAAAATATGGCCACATCGTCAAGGTAGGCGACTGCATATTCTCCTAATCCCACTAGGAGACCATCTACAAGTCTTTGGAAGGTGGCAGGTGCATTCCACAGCCCAAAATGGAGCACATTAAATTCATACAGCCCGACATGTGTGGTGAAGGCTGACCTTTCCTTGACGGATTCATCTAGCAGTACCTGCCAGTACCACTTGGTTAAGTCCAAGGTAGAGATGAACTGGGCCCGTCCCAGTTTCTCCAATAGTTCATCTGTGCATGGCATTGGATAGTTGTCTGGGTGAGTTACAGCATTTAGCTTACGGTAGTCCATGCAAAAACGTATCTCCCCATCTGGTTTGGGAACTAGAACCACTGGAGATACCCAGGCACTGCCAGAGGGACGGATTACACCCATCTGTAGCATACTCTGGATTTCCCATTCTATAGCAGTTTTAGCTTGAGGAGACACCCAGAAAGGTTGGGCTTTAATTGGGTGAGCATTACCTGTGTCAATGGAGTGGTATGCCCATTTAGTCAGCCCTGGGGTGGCTGAGAACATCGGCGCGTAGCTAGTGCACAGCTCCTTGATCTGCTGTCACTGCATAAGCCCAAGGATCATGGAGAGGTTCACCTCTTCCACGCCACCAACACTTTTCCCTTCGTAGTAGACACCTTCAGGCCACTCAGCGTCATCTCCTCTCTGGGCTGTAAACTGACAAACCTTTAATTCCCTGGAATAAAAGGGCTTTAGAGAATTAATATGGTACACCTTAGGCTTTCGGTTGGAGGTGGGGAATGCTATGAGATAATTAACAGCTCCCAGGCGCTCCTGGACTGTGAATGCCCTTCCCATGATGCTTCCATTTTATGGCCTGGAGTGCCTTTAAGACCATGACCTGGTCCCCTACTTTGAAGGAACACTCTCTGGCATGTTTATCATACCAGGCTTTTTGCTCTTTTTGAGCATCCTGTAGGTTTTCTTTAGCAAGGGCTAAAGAGGTTCGGAGGGTGTTTTGTGGGTTGGTTACAAAGTCCAGAATGTTAGTTCCTGGAGAAGGTATAAACCCCTCCCATTGCTGCTTCACCCAGCTGTAATGGCCCTTTAACCTCACAGCCATATACAAGTTCAAATGGTGAAAACCGTAAACTGGGATGTGGTATAGCTCTGTAGGCAAAGAGCAACTGCTGCAACACTAGGTCCCAATCATTGGAGTGCTCATTTATGAATTTACGCACCATGGCCCCCAAAGTTCCATTAAATTTCTCCATCAGGCCATTTGTTTGATGATGGTAAGGTGTGGCAACCAAGTGATTCACCCCATAAACTTCCCAAAGGCTTTCCATAGTTCCTGCCAGGAAATTAGTTCCTGCATTTGTGAGGATGTCGGAGGGCCAACCTACCCTGGCAAAAATGTCTGCTAGTGCTTGACACACACTTTTAGCCCTAGTATTGCTTAGAGCTATTGCTTCTGGCCATCAGGTGGCAAAATCCATGAAAGTCAGTATGTACTGCTTTCCTCTGGGTGTCTTTTTTGGAAAAGGACCCAGAATATCCACAGCTACTCACTGAAATGGAACCTCAATGATTAGAAGAGCTGAGAGGCGGTGGGTTGCTCCGTGCTGCGATCCAAGTTCTCTGGAGGCTTTCATCTGCTTTCTGTTTGGTCTGGAACTGTTCCCTTGATGCTGGAGACATCAGTTCCTCATTGGATTGTGGACCTAGGCTTGGTCCCTCTGGAAGCGATGCAGGTGATGGGGCTGTTTCCATTGACTGTGAACCGCTCTCCACTGGTGCACTATGTTGGGGTTCAAGCTCCAGCTGAGCCTCTTGTGTAGGGTTATCGGTTGCTGCTGGTGTAGGTTCGGTGGGGCCCTCTGGTGTTGGGGTTGCAAGTACTGGATTCAGTGCTGGCAATGGTTCTGGTGCTGGTTGTTCCCTCGGTTCCGATTCTGAGACTCCTTTTCTTTTTGCGAATACAAACTAACATGGCTGCTACTCTGAAACTATTGCTGTTGCAGATGTGGGCATGGGGTCCGGTTCCATCACCTCTGACCGGATCCTGGTAGAAGTTTCCGGAATAGAGCTAGGTGTGACAGCTTGCTTAGCCTGGCTGCGGGTGACCATTCCCACCCTCTTGGCTAGCTTCACATGATTGGCCAAGCCTTCCCCCAACAGCATGGCGATGAGATAATCATCATAGCCTGCAAAAGTCTACGTTCCTGACTAGCCCTTGTACTGGACTGGCAACTTGGCTGTAGGCAAGTCAAAAGAGTTTGACTTGAAGAGTTGAATCATCACTTGGATCTCTGGGTCGATTAAATTGGGGTCCACTAAGGAAGCATGGATAGCTGACACTTGTGCTCCGGTGTCCCTCCATGCGGTGACCTTCCCACCCACACTGATAGTTTCCCTCTGCTCTGAGGGTATCTGGGAGGTATCTGGGCCTGAGGACGTCTGGTGTGATTCCGGTGCAATGAACTGTAATCTGTTGGGGTTCTTGGGGCAGCTGCCCTTTACAAGCCCCAGCTCATTACATTTAAAACATCGTCCAACTGACGGGTCACTGGGGTGAGGTGGGTTGCTGGAGAACGGTGTGGCGGGACGATAAGGTGTCTGGAGTGTTCCTTGTTGTGTTTTTTTTCATTGTTCTTAAGATCCAAGGGTTTGGGTGTGGGGTGTAGGGCTTGGGGGGATATTTTGGGGGAAGAGGTCTCCAAGTGGGCTCTTTCCCTGTTCTTTGTTTGACACTCTTGGTGGTGGCAGCACAGGGTTCAAAGCAAGGCAAAGTTTGTACCTTGAGAAAGTTTTTAACCTAAGCTGGTAAGAATAAGCTTAGGGGTTCTTTCATGCAGGTCCCCACATCTGTACCTTTGAGTTCAGAGTGGGGAAGGAACCGTGACAGTATACATATCTTCTGACTGTATGTTCCATTCTATGCATCTGATGAAGTGGGCTGTAGCCCATGAAAGCTTATACTTAAATAAATGTGTTAGTCCCTATGGTGCCACAAGTACTCATGTTCTTTTTGCAGATACAGACTAACATGGCTGCTACTCTGAAACCTGTCAAAAAGCTTGTTTGTTTCTCTTAAATAATTTGGAAGGAACCTGTGAGGAGGAAGACGGGGAGACAGTCCTGGTGCACAAATAAATTAGTGGATCAGTTTCTCTTAAATTAAGAAAGTGTAGTAACGTTGTCATGTGAACTCTGTACACACATTACTGCAGACTCTTCTAATCTGATCTTGGCTAAAAAGCCTAAATCTTTTTTTTTTTTTAAACTCTGTGAAGTGTCTGGTGATGAAATTTGTTGCCATTATGACTGTAATTCCTCCGCTTTCATGCACATATATTGTATCCATCCTCAGGCCAAGAACCATTTTGTAGGCATAAATTCAAGAGCTGTGTGGGTGTATATAAACTCTAACTTGAACAGCTTGCTGTGTCCTCAAGTAGGAGGGTAATTTCGCCCCTTCATTGATTTTACTGATGTCTCTTATGAGCAAATAGTGCCATTTCCCTCAACCCTTGATGAATTGCATGTGCTACAGGGTGGGTTGTTGCTCACCAGACAATTAAGCAGGAGCAACAACCTTGCTTCACTTTCCTCAAACCTTTCATGAGTGACAGACACCTGCATCATATCATATACTCTTACCATTTTGAGATATAAAAACAGTCTTCTGGTATGTTCTCTCAAAAAACACAGCTTAGATTGATAGAAAAACACTCACAATGCAGAGGGATCATTTGCAGAAAAACAATGGATTATAATGTGCTAAAATCTTCAAAAGTAAACTGTAAATTTTACATAGTCTCTGTGCCATGAGATGTTTCTGTTCCATGTACCTGCAGTTAACATAATATTTATGAGGTCAGGGTTACTGCAGTGTTGTATTCACTGTAGAGTAGCAAAAGCATGGATTTTAATGGGGCCCTCAGTACAGATTCAATAAATTCTTCCCTCTCCCATAAAACTACTTAAGGGGAATAAATATAAGCATGGGTTAAATGCTTGTGCTTTCTGTGCTGTTTTTGTTCCATTTCTTTGCTGGTTTCCTTAACTGCTAACTTGTACAGTTTCTTTGTCTTTTAGAATGTCGGGTAGTGAAATCTACTTCCTATACCAAAATAGCTTCAACATCACGTAGGAGCACCACTAAGAGCCCAGGTCCATCTAGACGCAGCAAGTCTCCTGCCTCTACCAGCTCAGGTAAAGCAAGGAAGAAATGTTTCCTACTAGCAAAAACAAATGCTTTCGAATACAATTGGTAAAGTGTTAAAATCTCTGTGGTGTGTTTTTTTTTGTTTGTTTGTTTTTTGGTTTTTTTTTTTTTTTTGCAAGATACTGTACATATACAGTACTTTACACTAAAATGTCATCGGACAGTTACCTCGGTATCTGAGATACATTTATTTCCCAATCTAAATTGTAGAAAAATACCTGTATTGCAAAATCTTAAATACCACAACATGGTAACTACTGTTCTAGTTAGTCATGTTTATTATAGTAGTGCTTGACAAACCAAGAATGGCTAGGCACCATAAAAACACAGAGTAGTAGACAGAAGAGTTCACAGTAAATAGGCAAGAGAGACATGGGGTGGGAAAAGGGGTAGAACACACAAGCAGAGTGAACAATGTGATGGCAGCAAACAGCATGTTAGTTCCGTGATTTTTTGGGGGGCAGGGGTCGGTTTATCTAGGAGGAGACAGTTAAAAGGTAAGAAAAGACAGCTTAGACTGATAGAAAGACACTCACAATGCAGAGGGATCATTTGCAGAAAAACAATGGATTATATTGTGCTAAAATCTTCAAAAGTAAACTGTAAATTTTACATGGTCTCTGTGCCATGATATCTTATTGTCCCAGGTACCTGCAAATAACCATAATTTCTCTGAGTCAGGGTTGTTTCAGTAATGCACTGAACGTACCGTGGCAAAAACTTGGGTCTTAATGGAGCACTCTGTACCGACTCAATAGATTCTTCCTCTCTCATGAAGGGTAGAGGGGGAAAGGGCAACGTAGAAGAGGGTAAATGAAGCAGCTGTGAAGTGAAACTGAGGTAAAAAGACTGAGGAGGGTTGGAGCAAACAGCCAATCAGCCCAGGGCAGAGAAAGTCCAGTAAAAACTATAAAAATTTTTCTAAATGTCTGAAGGTACCTTAGTTGGCTGCTTTTATAGCTGCTCCTATCAGCTGGAGTCTCTAGCTGTTTCTTTTCCAAGGCCATGTGGTGGGAGGCCGGGCAGCCCTATATCCCAGTGCCCCCGGAATGGGGGAGGTCTCTTTTGCACAAGTCTAGAGGTGGTTGGGGGAGGGGTGGCCTTGCTGGGCCCCATTTTAGTCCCTCCCCGCAATGCAGCAGTCCCTGGTTTGCACTGTTTCTGCAGCTATACTACTGGCTGGAGAGTCCAGCTGGTGTTCCTCTCCGCAGTTTTTCCCCAAGAGAAAAGTAAGCAATTGGTTACCTTTCAATGGTGACTACTGAATATGCAATTAACAGTTCTTAATAGTGAACATGCAGATATTATGTGTACAACATAGGGTTGCCAACTGTGACTGAAGCTCTTCTGGAGATTTTTTTTCCCCTACATGATGTAAGGTCATTTTCTTAAAACATCCTATTAAAATCTCCCAGATTGCTTTCAGGCATCACTGGGAGAGGATTGCCTATCCCGGGAGACTCCAGGCCAGTCCTGGAAGGTTGGCAAACCTATCTGAAGAGGACACATTAGATTGCAACCTGCAAATAAAGCCATGTCTTCTTATACCTTAAAAACCTTTTGAAAATTAAAGTGATGAGCATTTCTTGCCAAGTGTATAATGTGAAAAATATATATTAGTGTATTTTATCTCAAAGAGTCCCAGATTGCTTAAACAAACTATATATAGGGATTAGTTTATTCACTGATGAACCTGTTTAACTGTTTTACCTGCCAGATAGCCTAGTTTGGTTGGGAGAGTCTGAGGGTTTGAACACCTTTGCCAGTGAACTATGTGGTCATCTTAGGTCCAAGGAATACGATACCATAACAGCAGCAGAAGTAGAGGAACCCTGCAAAAAGGTAATGAGGAGTAGTATCGATATAGGGGGTAGAATTAAATAATTTTTATAGGGGACAATTATTTATTCAGACAGTGTAAGGAACAGTTTTTAAAAGCCTAGGCATGCAAAACCCAACAGGATGGATTTGTTCTTTGATCCTGAAGATAAATTGAGTACCATGCAGTTTATAGGTGGGGAGAATAGAGTTAAATCAGACCTTAAAAAGTGAGGGCCTGTTAGCTGTCGTATTGGCTCTGCATTGACATTAAGGCTACACTTATGGATGGAATTAGCTTAATGTATACTGCATTTATGTGTTCAACAACATTTCTGTGCAAAGTCACCATTCTTCTGTGCACAGATTAGGTATCTAGAGATCCCTCTGGCAGACCCCAAATCTGTGGTTTATTTGGAAAAAATATTCTGGCAGCATTTTTGACATGTTGGCAAATATGTTAACACAGTATGGTTTTGGACATGAGGTTAATAGCAGGGTTGGCTAGAAAACAAGAATTGTGTTTTGTGAAATAATTTAAACTTTTGCAATTTATTTTTGTTCCTATGCAGGACAAAAATGAGCCTTGTGAAGTTTTGAGAGACAGACGATCCCACTCCAAAATAGCCAATAACCCAGTGGTTAGGGCAGGGGTTCTCAAACTGGAGGTTGGGATCCCTCAGAGGTCGCAAGGTTACTACATGAGGGGTCGCGAGCTGTCAGCCTCCACCCCAAACCACGCTTTGCCTCCAGCATTTATAATGGTATTAAATATATAAAAACTGTTTTTAATTTATAAGGGAGCATCGCACTCAGAGGCTTGCTATGTGAAAGGGGTCATGAGTACAAAAGTTTGAGAACTACTAGATTAGACAGAAGAGAGAGACAGAAGTTCAAGTCTCTGTTCTGCCTAATTTGGTATCTGGGTCTTCCAGATACTAGGTGACCTCCCCAACTGGTGGGATGGAAAGTCCTGCTATCTTTTCTGTTGCAACTGTTCCACTTTGTATAAATAATTAAATATTCATTAAGATAGAGAGTGAGACTCTGACTATTTAAATTACATACAGAAAAGAATGTTAAGGTTGCAAAGTCACTCAAAAATTAGGAAATGCCAAAATTTGCCCATGCAACCTTAATTTGGCTTGCTTGTGCATATAACAGTCGTTAATCAGATGATCACATACTACTTTTTCCACCGGACCACTGCCTCATTCCGTGTACATGATGTTCAGGAAGTGAATCAAGGCTTTCTAATAAATTCAGTGGCAAAAAAGTAGGTTAAAGCAAGATTGTTTAGTGATGTGTCATCCCCTTGCAGAACATTGAGTTGAGCATAACTTAAACTTCTGAAAACCGAGAAATGCAGCATTAAGGCTGCCCATGTAATCTTAACTGTACCCTATTTCAGCAATGTCCCAGGACACGATTAACATACACATCTTTTGTCTGCCAAGCTCAGCTGCTGAAATGTACAACCTCCTTTTATAACTCGTTCACTTTTACCCACATGGTTTCATCTAACACTATTAAAGGACAAAGAGGGAAAAATTGCCTCCCATTTCCCTATTGATGTTCTTCCACGCTTATTAATTCCTTTCATATTGTCTTTGTAGCAATAATTCAGACACTCAGCCAAATCAGAAAAAAAACTATCACACCTTCTGGACACAAATTCATGGAGGATAGGTCTATCAATGGCTATTAGCCAGAATGAACAGGGATGGTGTCCCTAGCCTTGTTTGCCAGATGCTGGGAATGGGTGGCAGGGGATGGATCACTTGATGATTACCTGTTCTGTTCATTTCCTCTGGGGCACCTGGCATTGGTCACTGTCAGAAAACAGGATACTGAGCTAGATGGACCTTTGGTCTGACCCAGTATTGCCGTTCTTACGTTCTAAATCTCTGATGTGACGCAAATCTGCTCTCTAACATTGTATGAGCTGTACACCAGGAATAAGGGCCGGATCATTTCTGCCTGAGTGAATTGCTACAATGTCCAGTAGATCACAACCTCTTAAGTCACCATTTGGGTGCTGCAGAATGGGTAAAACACAGTGTTAACACAGGCCACTTCTCTCCACCCAAATCAGCAATCCCCATGTCATGGTGTATTCCTTGCTTCTCCAAACTTCTGTATTCTTCTTCGTAGATGCAGCCGTGTATCCTACTTAGGTGTGTGTCTGTCCTGCACACCAGAGCAGAGAACTTTACCTAGCAATACCCGGTGGGGTGGTACTCACACCCTGCAGCTCTGGCTCCTCCCCTGGCTATATAAGGACAGCACTATCCCATCCTCCTCAGTTCCTTCTTACTGCCCATGGCTAGAGTTGGATCTCTGTGGTGTTCTTCACCTTGCGCTTTCTGTCTCAGTGTCAGAGAAAAATTTCTTGTATAAAGTAGTAGTATCTTCAGTAAAGTTTAGTATTAATTAGAATAGTTGGCTGTCCTGCACGATGCCCTCACCATGGTTCAAGCACTGTCTGTTGTGTGTGTGTGGGCGATTCCCAACAATGGGTGCTTGTTGTGTCTTAGTGAAGGACACATTCAAGAGTGGTGCTCCATTTGCAAGTCATTCACAAGGAGGCCTCAGGTGGTGAGAGACTTGTGGCTGAAGCAGCACCTGCTGGAGCAGGCCATGAGGCCGGCTTAGGGAGCGAGGCCCTTGTCTGTTTAGTGGTCGTCTTCAGATTAGCCAGTAACGCTGCTCCACGCTTGGGCTCTGCCATCTTCCCCAAGAGGAAGAAAGATCATTGTAGGGCTTAGGGTGATTCCTCATTGACTTCAAAGAGGAGTGCTGGACAGCACCATACTCCCTCTGGCACACAGGATACAGGTCCATCTAACTGCTCCCTGATGTTGCACTGAAGGCTCCAAGAGCCTGTATTGTCAACTCTGGTTCCAGCTATGGTGAGTTTGGTACCAGTGATGTCAGCACCAGCACCGACAGTGGCATAAGACCTGCTTTGCTTCTCAGTCTCAGACTCTCTACAGGTTCAAGAGTTCGCTGGTGTCATGGCCTTCTACGGCCTCATCATCCATTATGCCACTAGCACCTTCTGGCCATGTCAAAGAGCTACCAGGCTCATCGGCACCACAGCTTACCCTGCCTGGGCCTCAGGTTTTGGAATTGGGGCCAATACTGGGCCCAGCACAGAAGATTCCTT